CATTGTGCCAAGGGTAAAGTTTGGTGGAGGGGGGATTATGGTGTTGGTTGTTTTTCAGGGGTTGTGCTTGGCTCCCTAGTTCCAGTGAAGGGAACATTTAAGGTGTCTGCATACCAAGACATTTTGGACAATTTCATGCTCCCAACTTTGTGGAAACAGTTTTGGGATGGTCCCTTCCTGTTCCAACATGACTGCACACCAGTGCACAAAGCAAGGTCCTTAAAGAAATGGATGAGCGAGTTTGGGGTAGAGGAACTTGACTGGCCTGCACAGAGTCCTGGCCTCAACCTGACAGAACAGCATTGGGATGAACTAGAGTGGAGACTGCAAGCCAGGCCTTCTCATCCGACATCAGTGCCTGACCTCACAAATGCACTTCTGGAAGAATGGTCAAACCTTCCCATAGACACACTCCTAAACCTTGTGGACAGCCTTCCCAGAACAGTTGAAGCTGTTATAGCTGCAAAGGGTGGGCCAACCCAATATTGAACCCTATGGACTAAGACTGGGATGCCATTAAACTTCATGCACGTGTAAAGGCAGGCGTCCCAATACTATTGGCAATATAGTGTATATAACATTTGTATACATGGAAGTGTTTTATTCAGGATTGATTAACTTTTCTTTTTTAATTCAATGAGTTGTTTTCAATTAAATATAATTTATTTTATATCACAGTTTGTTATTACTGCAGCTTCTAGTAATGTAAGTATTTTATTCTAACATGGATAAATATATATCTTCAATAATGTCTCATGGCTCTATAAATAATTCCATAATAAAAGATGCATCAAAACGTACTGTTTTACCTATATACAACATATTTCTAAGTCATTGGAGTGTAACAGGTTCCAAAAGTTTTGTCGTATGGAGACCATGTGAATATACAGACTTGGTTTGCTAGCTCCTGATGGGCTAAATAAAGCCAAAGAACATTTTCATTTTCATTTCAATACAGTTCTTACCACTAGAGGTCACTAATTGAATTCAAATTGTAAGCGAATAGACACAACTGAGTTCAATGAAGCCATATTGTCTCTATTCCCTTTATTTTGTGTAGTGCTATTCCCATAGGAACTGCTGGTTAGGAGGAGGTGAGTCCTCCTTAGGAACTTCAGCCCCTCTGACACACTAGGTTGAGTGCACATGCAGTATCACAGAAATCTCTGAAAGTAATACTTAGAACCCAGTAGTAATACTATATCAAAGAAAACAGACTCTGAACCAGTTAGTAAATGTAAACTTAAAATGCCTGATATGGTTGTAATAAAGTTACCATAGATATGGATTAACCATGATGATAACACAATTTATGGGTAGTAAAAAGGACTAGTCATAAGATGACACTTGGTGTGCAGATCAACATAAACAGTAGGAAGGTCACCTCAAGTACAGCAGTGAGCAATGATAAAGTTTGATTTACCGAACATAGGAACTATACTAAAAAAGTGCATTAATGGTTACTATGCTAGGCTTAGACTGACTAGATGTGCACTGTCCATAGAAATGAAGGAAAGGGGAGAAAGTACAAAGGGGACCTGCAGGAGGGTTTTACGAGAGGGGCAGTCCTTTATGCTGTTCTTTTGCTGGCTACTGTTGGGGCCCTTTAAGAAGCGTTGGTGCACTTAACAATAGTTTCATTATTTCCAGTTGCTGGATATTCTATACATTTTGGTGCTGTTGAGTAATCCATAGCAGTTTCAATAAAATAGCATATATTATAGGTGCAGTAAAAATGCAGCATAGGTGTGGGTATATACAGTATCTTACAGAAGTGAGTCCACCCCTCACATTTTTGTAAATATTTTATTCTATCTTTTCATGTGACAACACTGAAGAAATGACACTTTGCTACAATGTAAAGTAGTGAGTGTACAGCTTGTATAACAGTGTCAATTTGCTGTCTACTTTACATTGTACCAAAGTGTCATTTCTTCAGTGTTGTCACATGAAAAGATAGAATAAAATATTTACAAAAATGTGAGGGGTGTACTCACTTCTGGGAGATACTGTATGTGGTATACTCATTGTCCTGCCTTCAGTAACTCAGTCCCTGATAGCAGTGTGATCAGTGGCAGTGCCCTCTCACTAATTCTTGTGCTGTGGCTGTGATCTCTCGCTGTAGAAAGGGGGACCCCCTCAGTCTCTCCAGAGATTCTGTGGTGAGAAGCAGAGGGTTCAAGAATGCAGATACGATTGCTGTGCTGTCTTGGGTTTCTCCAGTGGTCTGGCCTACCAGCAGTCTGGTTGGTATGTAGCAGATGTGCTCTCATCAGTTCCCTCAGAACCAAGATAGGGAGCCAAACTGAGCAGTCTCAGAAAAGCAGCTTCACTCCTCCCCCTTACCCCAGTGTCTGTTGGGAATTATAGTGCAAAAGGTCCATAAGCTATACAATGTGGCTTACTTTCTGGATTTCAAATCTCATGATCCTCAGGGTTCTGCATGGGAATCCATAGGCTTTTCTGGCTATAGTTCTCCCTCCGCTGACTGGATGGGATAGTGCAACACAACATTCAGCATAACAGCAGAAAGTTACGTACATAGTTACATAGTTAGTCTGGCTGAAAAAAGACAAAAGTCCATCTAGTTCAACCATTAAAAAAAAAAAGTTATAATCTTACACCCACAGTTGATCCAGAGGAAGGCAAAAAAACCCAGCAAAGTATGATCCAATTTGCTCCTGCAGGAGAAAAGAATCCTTCCTGATCCCCTGAAAGGCAATCGGATATTCCCTGGATAAACTTTACCTATAAATGTTAGTATCCAGTTATATTCTGTGTATCCAAGAAAGAATCCAGGCCTTTTTTAAAGCAATCCACTGAGCTGGCCAGAACCAACTCTTGAGGGAGTCTATTCCACATTTTCACAGTTCTTACTGTGAAGAAACCTTTCCGTGTTTGGAGATTACATTTCTTTTCCTCCAGACGTAAAGAGTGCCCCCTTGTCCTCTGTGATGACCTCAGGGTGAATAGCTCTACACCGAGTTCACTATATGAACCACTGATGTATTTATACATGTTGATCATGAAAGTGAAATGTAAACATATTGTAAAGACACATTGTACAGGTGCATTCCCCTCCCCTCTAAAGCACGCGCACATCACTCCCATACTTAAAAAACCCTCCCTATACCCCACCAACCTGAACAACCTTAGACCCATCTCCCTGCTGCCATTTACCTCCTAGAACGCTTAGTCTACAATTGTCTGAGCTCCCACCTCACCAACAACAACCTTCTCGACCCCTTACAGTCTGGCTTTCACTCACTACACTCCACTGAAACTGCCCTACTAAAGCTCTCTAATGACATACTAACTGCAAAAACCAACGGCCACTATTCAATACTCCTACTACTCGACCTCTCTGCGGCTTTTGACGCTGTTGACCATCCCCTCCTCCTCAAAAAACTACACTCTTTTGGCCTCAGCGACTCCGCTCTCTCTTGGCTCTCTTCCTATCTATCGCAGCGCTCCTTCAGTGTTACCTATAACGCTGCCACCTCCTCCTCACTCCCTCTCTCTGTAGGGGTCCCCCAAGGTTCTGTCCTTGGACCCCTTCTCGTCTCCATCTACACCTCCTCCCTTGGTCACTTGATAAACTCCCACGGCTTCAATTACCATCTCTATGCTGATGACACACAAATCTATCTGTCTACCCCTCACCTCACCCCGTCAGTCTCCGTCCGCATCACTAGCCTACTAAGCGACATATTGGCTTGGATGTCACTCCACTTCCTCAAACTCAACCTTTCCAAAACTGAGCTCCTAGTATTCCCCCCTGCCCGCGCCACCCCCACTGACTTCACCATAAACATCGCCAACACCATCCTCAGTCCATCCCCTCACGCCAGGGTACTAGGTGTAATCCTAGACTCCCATCTGTCCTTCCAGCCCCAGATCCTATCGCTGACAAAATCATGTAGACATCACCTCTGCAACATCTCCAAGATACACCCGTTCCTAACCCCGGAAACAACTAAGCAACTTATTCACTCCCTTGTCGTATCACGCCTCGACTACTGTAACTCCCTCCTCATTGGCCTACCTCATCGCAAGCTATCCCCCCTCCAGTCTATCATGAATGCTGCTGCCAGACTCATCCACCTCACTAACCGTTCTGTATCCGCCACCCCTCTCTGCCAATCCCTCCACTGGCTCCCAGTTGCCCAATAGATAAAATTCAAAACTCTAACAATGACATATAAAGCCATCCACAACACTGCCCCAATTTACATAACCGATCTTATCTCTAAATATCACCCAAACCGTACACTCCGCTCCTCGCAAGACCTCTTACTCTCTAGCTCCCTTATCTCCTCCTCCCATGCTCGTCTCCAAGACTTCTCCAGGGTGTCACCCATCCTCTGGAACTCCCTACCCCAATCTATTAGACTATCACCTACTCTATTTGCCCTTCGGAGATCACTGAAAACCTTTCTCTTCAGGGAAGCCTATCCCGCACTCTGCTAATCCTGGAATCCTCTACTCTTCCAACCACTCCATCCCCCACAGTGACTACCTACTGTACCATTCACCCCTCCCTCCTAGATTGTAAGCTCCAAGGAGCAGGGCCCTCAAATCCCTCTTGTATTGAACTGTATTGTTGCTGTATTGTCTCCCACTATAATGTAAAGCGCTGAGCAAACCGTTGGTGTTATATAAATCCTGTATAATAATAAAGAGGGTAATGCATTCTTCTACATGTTACTGTAGTCCAGAACCTTGCTGCATAATTATTTTCTCAAAATTACATATGTTTCTAGCCCTGCGCACTGTACAGTATACAAAGGCCTCAACCCCCATTCAGGTTCCCAAGAGGATGTGGGGGTTTATGGGAGGGGCATATAAGAATCTGGAAGCCCCCTTTGTATTAAAGGGTCCCCTCAGATACTCACCCCATCCCAAAGGAATGAATATAGGGTACAGTATCACTATGCATTATTATTCCCTCCCCCAAAAAACAAAAGCGCTCGATAATGTTTCCCCAAAGCCATGACGACCCAACAATGTTACCCCCAGGGGCGGACTGACAACTCATGGGGTCCCCAGGCAATAGGGGATCATGGGGCCCCTGTGTCCTTGCCCAAAATCCAAAAAAGCCTATGAAAAAGGTACCAGGGGCATCTCATGGGGCCCCCTACTGACCCCGGGCCCTCGGGCAGTGCCCGAGTTTCCAAATGGTCAGTCTGCCCCTGGTTACCCCACAGCATTACCACTGTTAATGATGCTGTATGTAAATAAACCAGTTGAATTACTGAATGCTCTAGTAAGAAAGTAAAGAATCCCTGCCTCTCTGAAGAAACCTACCTTTAAACTCTGTTTCATTCCTGTCTGGCAGTGAGTGTCACAGACATTTCCTAAAGGTCAGAATGGTTACAGCAGATGCTGTGGTCAGTGTGTGTTTTCCAGTAAAAGATGGGGTGGCTACTGTATGTGTGTAAGGCTTAACTGCAGAGATAACTGCCCCAGTGAGAGCACAATCATCACTTTCTGACAGCAGCAGTGGAATTTGAGACTGCTGCCATCCAGGGGCGGACTGACTCATGGGGCCCCTGGGCAATAGGGGATCATGGGGCCCCTGTGTCCTTGCCCAAACTCAAAAAAGCCTATGAAAAAGGTACCAGGGGAATCTCATGGGGCCCCCTACTGACCCCAGGCCCTCGGGCAGTGCCTGAGTTTCCAAATGGTCAGTCCGCCCCTGCTGCCATCACAGTTTACTTTTGCAATTTCTTTTTTGGGGGGTGAGTAATAACAGGTACTCAGTCGCCTAGGGCGAAAGCTTTCTGGAGCTCCCTTTTTTAAAGGGAATGTCCAGACTCCATTAAGCCCCTGCACAAACCCCCACATTCTTTTGGAGAACTGATGTGGGGCTTCTCCACCTTTCCTTGCAAAGTACCCTTCCATTTTTGACAGGCACATGGCTTTGTATGGTTCAGGAAGGAGGGGGGGGGGGGCGCCTGCTCGCTGGCCCCCAGGCTGCATTCCTGGATAAGGAACTGGTAGGCATTTGAAGGGGAACCCAAAACAGCTATTTTAATTTTTATTTCTGTAAATGTCACTTTCAAGGACTACATCATGCTGTTCTGTAACTTCACATGCAGCTTTAAGCCTTGGTTCACACTATGAATCGCACATGAATCACACAGGAACCGCACTGCATTCACATGCAATGAACTGAATAGCTCAAATCGCACCATATCTGCACCAAAGTCTTGCCTGCAGCAATTCTGGGAACGCAGAGCAACCACAACCAATTCCTGCCATGCAAACCAGTGCAGGCAAATACACTGCGTTTTGCGACCTACGTTGTGGAGTATCATTAATATTGCACTGACACCTGCTGCGAATTGTAAGCACAGTGGGATTTGAATGCAGTGCGAGAATAGCGCATGGATCGTGGGTTTCCTGCACTGCACATGATTGTGAACTGAGGCTAAAGTGTATTTGCCAAATTTAGATAACTCCTACTATTTTTTACATGTTCCCATTCACATTGCATAACTTTGAAAAAATATTTAAAAATTGCTACAAGAATTATTCCCTATAAACTTCACTGCCTGTCTCTGCATTCCCAGTAAACACTCCTACCCCTCCTATCCCTACATGGGGCAGCACAGTGGCTAAATGGTCAACACTTCTCCCTGGCACTACCAGGGTTGTTGGTTCAAATCCCAGCCACAGTACCTCCTGCCTGGAGCTTGCATGCTCTCCCCGTGCCTGCATGGGCTTCCTCCCACACTCCGAAGACATGCTGGTAGGTAAACTGGTGCCTGTCTAAATTGGCCCTTGTATGCGTATGTATGAATGTAACGCACATGGAAGAAAAATATATTTTAAAAATATTCTTCCCAAATATATTGAGATATATTTTAAATGCTACAATTTTGGCCATATTCAATATATATATATATATATATGAGGAGGCACTGGTGGGCATTGACAGGCATCACTGATGAGCACTGAAAGGCAGCACTCATATATGGCACTGATAGGCGACACTGTTAGGCAGCACTGATGGGCACTGTTAGGCGGAACTGAAAGGCAACTCAGATGGGCACTGATATGTGTCATTGATGTGAACTGATAGGCACTGATATGTGGCACTGATGGGCACTGACAGGTGGCATTGATGGGCACGGACAGGTGGCACTGATGGGGCTACACCGATCATCAGTGCCCTGATGATCAGTGTAGATGTCCCCTCTGAGGAATGCCGATTACCGGCTCTCCTCTCCCCACTGTCAGCGTGACAGCTCGAGAGGAGAGGAATGCCGATAACCGGCATTTCCTTATTTACATGTGATCAGCTGTGATTGGACACATCTGATCACATGACAGAGCCGACGTCATCGCCTCTTTCCCGATTGGTGGTCCACTGTGTCCCAAGGACACAGCACACCAACGATCGCCACGCTGCACGCCTCTGGGGCCTCGCACGCACGGTTAGAATGGAAGAACGGGATATGACATCCTCCCAGACTGAGAGAACCTCGCCCATCTGTCATTTCCTTGTATGGCAGGCGGGAGGCGGTTAATTACACAGGTTCTGAGGCTAATTTATTGCAGATAGGGCACTACGTGAGTTTAATTACCACCTTCATCAGCCACCGAACCTGTTATTAATGTGTTTTGGCTCTGAAGGGATGAGGTGGCAATCCTAGTCCAACCCCATTTGTCAAATCAGCTGTATAAAAGCATATTGGTATATTTGTAAGCTCCCCACAATTCTTCGTGTTACTAAACCCACAACAGTAAAATCAGTCTGTATATGCGGTAAAACATGCTTGTTATACTCACTGTGGAACCTAAGGGGTTATTCCTCTGCATTCTGTAGAAACACTGATCTTGTCTTCTTTGATCCACCCCTTCTACTGTCCCCAGTCAAACTGATAGAACCGAGCCTTGGAGGAAGCAGCACATGCTCAGTTTGCTGTGTATTGCTAGAGTTTTTTTTTCTTGGGACAGTGCATGTGATCAGCACAGGGCCAATCAGCATTGTCCAGACAGAGGTCAGGGATCCTGCAGTCTCATAGAGAATAAAAACTTCTACATGCTTTAACCCAGGGGTGGGAAACTGTGGCCCTCCAGCTGTTGAAGAACTAAAGTCCCATGAGGCATTGCAAAACTGACAGTTACAAGCATGACTCCCAAAGGCAGAGGTATGATGGGACTTTTAGTTCACCAACAGCTGGAGGGCCACAGTTGCCCACCCCTGCTTTAACCATGGCTCAGCTGGACACTGATAGAAGTCACAAGACTGCTCTAACTGCTGATGAGAAAAGGTATTTAGCAGTTTATATTTAATAAAATAATTACATTTCCATGTTCTGCAGGATACCAGATATGGTGAATGCAGAGTCCTGGGTTTAGTAACATTTTAAGCTGCCTACACACTATAGGAAAATTGGGGCGAATGATCATCCGGTTTTCATTGTTTGTTCGCAAAACGTCGAACCCAAGGGTGGTACTAACTGTACTAAAATTCTCGAACGACAAAGTTATTTTTTTTTTGGTTTGACATAGAAACATAGATTAGGAAGTGATATAATGTACATGTGACCCTGTAGCTTTGCCTTTCGTCACCATATGTTCTGAGTGTTGCGGATTCTTCGTTCTGACTCCTATACATTCATTCAAATTTCTTGGTGGTTCAGTATAATATAAAATTTTGTTTGCCCCTTTGGAAATTTTAATTTGGTACGTCTGAATCGGGTGTCACTATGAGAAAATCGAAGGAGCATTCTGAATACGGAAATTTCTGTCTGAATCTTATAGTGTGTAGCCCTTGTAGCACCCTCTAGTGTGCTACTAGAATAGAGTATTATAGACAAAATCATTGGTGGTTGTGTGAGTCATGTGACTGTGGTAAGGTTATTGCAGGTCAGCTGGACGACTCAACAGGTTGTGGCTCTATCACCTCCTCCTGGCTCTAGGGGACAATAGAACCCTCCAGAAGTCGGTAAAAAGGAAGGGGTGGAGGCCCAATCTGCATATTCATGGGGGGAGTCCAGCCAATCTCAAGTGGGCTGGCCTATAAATATGGGAGAGTCAGGCTGACAGGGGAGTTGGGTGGAAGATGGAGTGCTGAGGACTGTCGAGAGTCAGGATGATGGGGAAGTTGGGTGGAAGATGGAGTGCTGAGGACTGTCGAGAGTCAGGTTGACGGGGGAGTTGGGTGGAAGATGGAGTGCTGAGGACTGTCGAGAGTCAGGTTGACGGGGGAGTTGGGTGGAAGATGGAGTGCTGAGGACTGTCGAGAGTCAGGATGACGGAGAAGTTGGGTGGAAGATGGAGTGCTGAGGACTGTCGAGAGTCAGGTTGACGGGGGAGTTGGGTGGAAGATGGAGTGCTGAGGACTGTCGAGAGTCAGGTTGACGGGGGATTTGGGCGGAAGATGGAGTGCTGAGGACTGTCGAGAGTCAGGATGACAGGGGAGTTGGGTGGAAGATGGAGTGCTGAGGACTGTCGAGAGTCAGGTTGACAGGGGAGTTGTTTGGAAGATGGAGTGCTGAGGACTGTCGAGAGTCAGGTTGTCGGGGGAGTTGGGTGGAAGATGGAGTGCTGAGGACTGTCGAGAGTCAGGTTGACAGGGGAGTTGGGTGGAAAATGGAGTGCTGAGGACTGTCGAGACAAGAGTCAGGTTGACATCGGAGTTGGGTGGAAGATGGAGTGCTGAGGACTGTCGAGAGTCAGGTTGACAGGAGAGTTGGGTGGAAGATGGAGTGCTGAGGACTGTCCAGAGGTTGACAGGGGAGTTGAGTGGAAGATGGAGTACTGAGCACTGTCTGTGTCTGGGAGGGGCCCCCTAGGTTTGGGGGTCCAGCCTTTAGGCAGGGTTTGGGCTGGCTTAAGAGGATACAACTTGCAAAGAGGCGCGGATGGGCTCAAGGCTTGGAGAAGAAGGGAGCAAAGAGGACAGTATTAGTACAGCAGAACACATTGGGATCTACAAGGGGAAAGACTGCCACATGTAGCAAGCTTTCTAAGGACAACGCTGGGCTCTATCCATTATCCATGTCCAGGGAGATCTTCCAAGAAGCCAGGAGGGCTGGTAGTGCTTGCAGGCTTAGGAGCAGCTCTGTAAGGGGGAGGGAAGACATCTCTACATGTAGCTATGAGAAGTGGTTTTTGGGGGCTGCTAGTTCCTCTCTCATAAGGGGCTGCTACTGATCTGCAAAGACTGACGGCTTTCAGGAAAAGAACAGTCCAGGAT